ACATTGAAACATTTTAACTTAGAAATGAGGATTTTTTTTCTTTTTAGATTTTAGACAATGTGACAAGCATTGAGGAAGTTTGCTCCACTTACTGTTATTTTGATTCAAAACTAAATGTGTTCCCACAGCTACTCAATAACTTTATGAGGAAAATTGTATGGATTAAAAGACGTTGCTGCACTGAACTCGGATCTGTGGATTGTCAGTTTCTTTCTGAAATATGACTTTAACCTTATTTCTCCCTCATCTTAAGTTTTAGTGTCACAGAAAAAAGCAGACTTGGATTACATCAAATTTACCTGGAACAAGATGACGGCCTCTGAGTTTGAGGAGCAATGGAAGTTGAAACAGACGACAAAGAAGGCAGACTTCATTCACATGATACAGGTTGGTGCTGCAGATGCGTTCCTCCGTCTCAGACTGTATTTTTGACACATCTAGGTCACATTCATTAGGAGGCACTCTGCAACAATTAATCCCATTAGAGCATCTGTCTTGCTTGGCATTATAATTAGACGCTCTGTGAATGCAGTTACCAGCTCATTATGTCTGGTGAAATCGACAGATGTTGTACTATGTGAAGGATCCTGGCGCCACCATCAACTTCTTCCACAGTCTCCTTAATAAGAACGGGAAGCTTCTCATCATTCTGGTGTCTGGTAAGTGGACTAATATTCCTGTCGCCGATGCGTGTATTTTTGGATTAAAATCCACTTTAACAGGGATTGCACTGACCATTATACAAAGTCAGGAGATTAAAGAGTGAAATCTACCTTACATCATCTACCAGTCAAAATCTATTTTGAGGTGAACTTGCAAATGTTGTATGGTGATTATTGCCTGTGAACCTTGTCCGTATTTGTTAGCTTCATTAGAATAATCCAGTTTTTTTGTGGCAACTCTTCCAGAGGAGAGCGGTTGGGGGAAGCTGTGGCGGACCTACAGGAGCCAGCTCTGTAACACTGAAATAAGTCAGTGTGTGACCACTGGTGACATCAAAAGCCTCCTGGACTCGAGGGGAGTGAGCTATCAGAGCTATGAACTGCCCTCTCAGATGGACATCACCGAGTGTTTCACTGAAGGAGATGAGAAGGGAGAGCTGCTGCTTGATTTTCTCACCGAGGTGCTGGACTTCAGTAAAACGGCTCCACCAGAGTTGAAAGCGGGTGTGTTGGAGTTGCTCCGGCACCCAGATTGTAGTGTGGAGTCCAAGGGCAAAGTTATTTTTAACAACAACCTGGGAGTAATCGTCATTGATCAGCTGCCTTAAAAACAGTCTCTTATCACTGCTGCCAAATTATTAGTAGAGTTATAGGAGTAGATCAATTAAGATAAGGTAGATTAAATATTACATTTTCAAAAAAGGAGAGTAACTGTAGCTTAACTTCCTTACAGTTTTTACTCTGTTCGTATGAACCTGATGTCCGTTGATTATTACTGATTATTTTCTATTAATTTATTGTTTGATATTGTGAATATTTTTGCAACATGAACAGGTCAACTGGATGCTTTATTCAATTGTTATTATCAACTTGGGGTCTTGATAATAACCAGAGTTTGGTTTCAGATTTGACCATATTATGTGACCACTTAAGCTTCAGATCTAATAAATATTGACAATTGGAGAATACACTTTCCATGAGAATTGAGCTCTTTTTCTTTTGGGCGAGGAATATTTTTATTAGATATTGTAGATATTAGATATATACTAAGTACATAGATTTTGTGGTAACGATAATGGATGGATGGAAGTTTCAAGCTGCTTTGGAGATCTATTTTTATAATGTATTTATTTATTTGACTGAGTAATCTCAGCATTCTCACAGTTTTGGGAGTCTAATGTGACAAAATGCAACACTGTAACCTAAAGAAAATAGATAAATACTTTGTATTGAATAATCTGGCCCTGTATTTTTTAGATGAATTCCAGGTAGTGGACAACTTTGCAAGTTTGTCTGCAGCCAGATTTGTGAGTTGTTGGCTCCATCTTGAGGGCAACATGAGTTAGTGAGGTGAACATAACAAGTCTGTGTTTAGTTACAATAAAAACACAAATGATTTTGCTTTTTCCTCACAATGATAATCTCCAAAAGTACTCAAAGATCAAATTATTTCAAATAAGCTATTTATTTTATTGTAATGATGTTTTCTGTTTGTTGTTTATTTGCATCTTAATCTTGGTTTGGCCAAAAAAACAATTATATAAAAACATCTAACAAAAATATAGCAAAAATGAACAATGATTGCTGAAAAAGTGCTCCAGCTGACCTGCAGGAACTGGATCTCCCTTCACTAGATAATAAACACTGGTGTTATGTAACTTTGTGTAACACCAGTGTTGCCACAACTGTGACAGATTCAAGCATCTGGCTGTGTGGAAACAAGTCCAAAAGACTACTGGAGCACCAAATTATGGGGTTTGTGGCTACATGTTACATTCATTTACAGAATAAACTGCCCAGATAAAATAACTGGAAATCAAATAACTCCCCTTAAAGATGCAGAGCAAGTCAACTTTCAGGGAATATCTTCTTTAAGAAAGGGTAAGTACTTTGCTTATTAATCCATCTGAGGCATACTTCACATTATAGACATTTTGATAAATTGATATTAAAGAAAAAGATACATCAGTACGTCATCACGAATCTATTGTAATTCTTCATTTATTTGAATAGTTATTTCAGTGTTTTTGAATATAGGAACTGAATCTAAATGGAATTACTTCCTAGATGCTCCATATAAGTTACTTTTTATCAGTGTTTGTTTTTATTTCTTACTTTTCATGTATTTCAAACATTTCTAGATTTAATATAGGCTATACATTTTAAGAAGTTTAATGAGTAAATTAGGCCTGTTATGTGTTGAGGTTTATAACTTTGGACCTGCTTCTCCAGAATGTATCCTAAAAAGTATTTTCTAAAGAGTTGTTGCATTAATACTGCCTGACACTTGTCGATCCTTTGTTTTGCTGTATTTTTATCACGTTTCACCCATATAAATGAAGATGGAAATGAAGTTATCGCTGTATGGTCAGACATGCGTGGAAGGAAAGACAAGGGGCAGAAGAAGCGGATGATTTACGGTTCTTCAGACAGGGATTGAACTTGTTGGAGGCGAGCACAAACCAAATCTAACAAGCCAGCAATTCAGCAATAGCCGAACACCGTGTGACGTGTAAAAAAAACGGACCTGGCAACTTATGCAGATGGCCTCTGGAACGAGTCCGGCTGTGGGAGGAGACCACGAAGGGGCGAGCAACTTAGGGCTCAAATACGTTGGACAGCCCCAGATTCTGTCTTTTTCCAGCCGAAACAAGCAGCGAAAGTAACTTCTAACACGTAAGTGACACTTAATTACATACTTGTGGTCAACTCGTGATTTGTCACGGTCGGGAATGATTTGTATTTTCTGTCATTTCTGATAACGAACTATTGCATTGCAGGAATTAAACATGGCCACAGATCATTCCTGTTATGAGGGCACCTATGCCAACTGTTTCCAGTTCTACCTGGAAAAATCAGGAGAGCACGCTGTAATTAGCCAGTGTGTTAAAAACACCCTGCCTGGAGAGTTTCAGAGGTACAAGTTTTGTTTTGTTTTTCCCTCCTGCAACTTCCCGACTGACCGGTACTAGGAATGATTGATAATTTTTGGCCAAGGTATTCTGTCATGGAAATTTACTCTACCTCTCCACCTGGTCCCAGCAGGTTATGTTGTTGGTTACCTCTAGGTTTCCACCCCCAAACCACTCCCTTTGTAAATACTGCCCCCTTCACCATCAATCACTTCCAAAACAATGCCATCATGCCAGGGGTTGCCAGGTGCTGCCAGGGGTTGCCAGGTGCGTTTGGCACTGAAACTGCAAAGTCAATGCAGCCCATTCAAGAGTTACTAGCCTTACTATCTATATCCACAGGTGACATGTGTTGCATTTAGTCATGATTAATTCACAGTTGTGAATTCTCTCACCCCTCAAGTTAATATATTCCACAGGTTGATAATCGACGCAGATTTGATGCACATATTAAGACAAAGAATGACACAAAAATAGAGAGGAGGATAGAAAAGGCCATACTCATTTACACGATCTGCAATTGTCTTTGTTGGCAGTCGATGTGTTGGATTTCCCCTTAACAGTTTGTTTGCATTTCTTGGTAACCCACCATTGTAATAGTCATAGATCATGCCATCGTAGAGAACGGCGCTTTATTTGAGGCCGCACATACTCCAGTTAAGTTAGCGAAGGTTTAACAAATCAACCAGCTTTGTAGCACTGAGTAACTCCACTTTTGGATGCCTAGATTTGTCATATGTGGTTTAAACGGATAACCCTGGGTTACATCTGAGTAAGTTAACGCTGCTTCGTAACCCCTAACCCCGCTCCCTGCTGCCCTGTGCCCCACACTGACTGACTTTTCTATATGATTTTTACCTCTGTTGCAGAATTGGAGCGGGTAAAAGCAGCCTGGATGTTCTCGGGGTTGGAAGTGGTGGAGGTATGCAATGCAATACAATTTTTATAACATGTAAACAAAAGACTGTTAAACTATCATTCCTAATCATCATGAGGGTGAAGAGAACTGATAATAAACAACAAGTAGCACAGATTAGATTATTGAAGTTTTTCCTCACATTTGCATCCTTACTAGGCCCCTCCGTAAATCAATATTGATCATAGTTCAATGGTTACTGACAAGGACACTTTCAAAGTCTGTTCCTGATAACGGTGTTCAGAGTTTCCATTTTGGGCATTTTATTTTGGCATAATCAAATGTATTCAAATATCTTGAAAAAATGGCGTTAAACCATGATTTTATGGCAACGTTTTTAACTCTATGGTCCACTCCAGGTGAAATGGATGTTCAGATGCTCTCCTTGCTGCAGTCGACTTTCCCCGCTGTGCCCATTACTGCTGACATTGTGGAGGGCAGCTCTAATCTTATAGACAAGTTCAAAGGTACCGATTATCCTTTTTTTTTAACCATATATATATATATCCTGAAGTTTCCATTGAGATGTAAATGTTTGTTGAAGCTCCCACGTTACTGATACTGAGAAGGGTTGACCTAGCTAGATGACTAACAGATTTGCAAAAGTTTAACATTCAAATTCATGGTTTGCAAAGGCCAGGCAGGGTATGCAAAAGAAAAAAGTGACTATTTTCTGATGATGTCCCCGAGGTTGTACAATAATTAAGGGAAACGAAAAAGTAAAGGTAGTTGATGTGTGGAAAGAGACATTACTCGCAGTAAGATTAAATGAAAACTTTGACTGAATGCACGTTATCTTCAGGGCGACTGCAAATTTGCAGGAGGGAAGCTCTGTCACTCCTCTTATCCAAATAGGTATTTTTTAATAAGTCAGATTCTCTTTTCTGTACAGCTTTGGTTGCAAAGACTGCCGACCTTCAGAAGATCCCAGTTTCTTGGCATATCATGGCCAGTGAGGAATATGTAAAGCAAGTGAAAGCAAAGGGAGACATGAAGATGTTTGACTTCATACACATGATTCAGGTACTCTTGTTGCCAGATAGGTTTTCTTGTTTGCTTTGGCACATCAAACTGTCACTTTTGTAAATGTTTCCCACCTGCCCATGGGAAATACTGCTTTTTAGCTCAGGTATAGGGAGTATAATTACATGTTGCGACAGTTAACACAATTGTTTCTCTTCTGTCCTCTAGATTTGAAATAATCTTTTAAATTCTCTTTGCTGCCTCTCCTCAACAGATGATTTACTATGTGGACAATCTTTCTGAAACTATCAAGTTTTACCACAGCCTTTTGAAGAAGAATGGCACACTTATGATCATCGTTGAATCAGGTTTGTTCAAGCACAATTCTTAAGCTTTATAAAGCTATAAAGCTACCCCTGACTGAAGCAAAATTTTATTCAAGTGCTCATCTACATTGCCATTGTTTGGATTAAGTCTATAGATATCCTGGTATGCTAATTAAGTATATCAGTTACATGCGACTTGTTGAAAAGGTTGTGATTTTCTGTGTCGTTACCTACAGCCAATAGTGGCTGGGACATCCTGTGGAAGACTTTCAGAAAGGATCTGTGTGTCGACGGCATAAAAGAGTACCGTTCATCAGGGGAGGTTATTGCTTGCCTGAAGAGCCAGGGTCTCAAGTACGAGGAGCATTCAGTTCCCAACAGCTATGACATCACCGAGTGCTTCGACCCAAGCAGTGTAAACGGAGAACGTCTGCTGAGTTTCATGACGGGGAAAGACCACTTCTACGAATCCTTCACCCCAGAGACCAGAG